TACAGTGTAAATCCTGTCTCTTAGACAGATCTAGATGTGTATAAGAGACAGTATATATACTGGGTAAGAACAGTATAATAAAACTCATCTGGTTACCCAGTATAAAGAAGAAAATCAAAATAAATTATTTTTTATGATTACTGGATAGTAAAAAAACAATCTGATATACTAAGCTATAATAACCAATGTAAAAAGCTGAAGATAATTGTTCTTTTAGATTAAACATGATAATTTATAATTATTTACTTAATATTTTAAAAGGTTACCCTTCAAAGGGTCACTGATATTAATGTCTACTGATCACTATAAATAAAATAAAAATATAACACACAAAATAATGATGCTGTTATTATCATTTGGAACTGCTGTAGCTCAGTGGTTAAGATGCTTGTCTTCCAATCCTGAAGTCCAAATTGTCTATAGCACCAGAATTTTTTTCTCACAACTAAAACCATTTCCATTCCCCACACCTCGTAATAAAGTAAAATACCTCTCCTTTCCTGCCAACAAGTGACTGCCAATTCTCTACGTAACTCCAAGGTGCGATACCGATACAGTGAATTGGTGCCCTTGCTTGACCTTTGTTTGAAATCCATCTCATCGCTTGACCTTCACGGACAGCTCCACCAACTGCTTTGTGAACTCCGCAATTGACACCTGTACTGATGATCCAAGCCCCCACAGTCTGTGCAGCCTGAAAATTAAAAGTCATACAATAGTGAATCAACAGTTCATGTCTTGTCAACTCATAAAATTCATACTTCTATATGTATGTATGATAGTTAATATAGTCTAATGAAATTTTATTAACAATGGACAACCAGATCAACAGCAGAAACATAAAAGCACACAAACTGGCAGACAGCATACAGAACATTGTCAGTTTAAAGTCTTCTTGCCAAGCAGAAGGGGAAATTACCTCATCACAAAAGCATGGATCCTTTTTGTTTGACAACATAAAAATTGCCAATCCAAATGAAGTTAATGTGATTGCCAATCTCTATGTGCACAATTTTTGGCCAACCTACACAATAAAAATCTCTTATATTGACCTTCACTGAGGCTCTAATCAGCCCCTTAGTTTGACCTCTTTGTTGGACCACCTGTCGGTAAATTTCTGGAGCCACCAGTGCCCGGTATGTAGTAAACGAATGATTTCCAACGAAATTGGGTAGTGCTGAATTTGGTGAATGACTAAGAATACCCTCCCCATGGAGCAGAGGAGTGTATGCAATGAGATGGGAGGGGGGAGGGGAGAAGGGTGGTAAATCACCTTGATAGTTTTTTTTTTTTCTAAAATGGACATTTGCGGTATACTGCATAAGAAAACAAAATTGTTGTTGGTGCCAATACTGTTACAGTTGCTGCTGTTGTGGTGGTTATTATTATTATTATTATTATTATATTATTAAACAGGTATGCTTACCTTTATTAGCCCTCTATTGAATGTGTCTTGATCCTGTTTGTTGAGTGTGAAATTTTTTGTGCCCCCTGCCACGGATATTGCAAGATGAGGTGTCGGAAGTTTCCAATGCTTTGATAGTAAATTTAAGACATCTTTAGGACGGGTATCATTGGATAATCGAACATACTGAATGAAAGGTAAAAAAAAAAATATTGTAAATATATAATATATAAAAATATATTATTTTGATATAAGTGATATTCTACTTCCATTTAATTTTATTATTATTATTATTAATAATAATAATAATAATAATAATAACAGGAGCACATTATACAAACACTTATACAGCTGTGTAGAGATATGTTGTGGACATCCCAAAGATACAAATGCTATGTATGGTGGAGCCTGGAACCCTGACCTCAAGTTTAAAACTTGAATATTAGAGAGCTTTTGAATTGTGCGACGACGCAACGCTAGAATAGAATCACTCATGCGTGACCGTCTACCTG